TTCCCAGTGATTAAGGGGAGGTGTGTGACGCATGGGGTGGACCAGGCAGAATGGAAACTGTAGCATGGACTATTGTCCAAAGGGTGTGTGGTCCGCCACCAATGAAATCACTTCGCACTACCTTCCACGCTTAACGTGGCCAGGTGGGTGCAACATTTAGGGACCCGGATGGGACCCAGTGGACCCGGTGGGGCCCACGAAGACTTAGATGGGCTTAGATGGACAAACATGGGAGCCAGATGCATGTCGCCAGGACCCAGCTATGGAGGCGCGGAAATGAAGCCATAAAGCAAAGTTCCTCCAGCAATCATCGTAAGCCCCTCTTCTCCCTCAAGCAATGTTGAGACATCACGCGCAAGCGGTTGCGTGGCATGCAGCTTGGTGCAAAGCGCGTTGTAGATGCCAGATCAACCTTGCTGTTGGGGAAGGGGGTGGTGGAAGACTCAGAATGCTCATGACCCCGAAACTGGGGTTGAAAAAGCGAAGAGAAAATGGCTTCAACGCACAGGGCTCAATTGTAGTCAGTTGGAACACAGCTGAAGCGTGCGAGGACGCAGGGCGACGCTTCCTACGGAAGGGTACCGCAAGGATGGTGGCAAGCTGACGGCAAGAGTAAAGGAAGAAGAAGAAGAAGTGCGGGCGGAAAGGCGACTTTGTTTTGAGATCTTTCAATTTTTTGTGATTTTGTGTATTTCAAATGCTACGAGTAAGTTTAAAGAGCAACAGTAGCTTCAATGCCGCGGGCGCGGCGTTTCGCACGGTAGCATTTCAAAAAACTAAAAAGAAGTTAGCGGCGCGCGAAGCCGCAGCGCAAACGAAACGGCTTTCGAGTTGCGAGTTTAGCTAAACCACATTTCATCAGTCTTGTCCTTTCCGAGTGATGCGATGGTCCAAACGTTGCAGCCAGACTAGACTTGATCACCGCCGTCCAACCAGACCATTCCGTCTGTCCGACCAGTGGATCGAAACGAAATTTTGTCCATTTGACGTCTGCACTGCACAATGATCGCGTCGTTCAATTGATAATCAACGGGACAAAGAACTTGTGAAGCGCTTTGAAGGAAGCCTCTGACCAGCACGGTTGTGAGAGCCACAGTCCTTCTGCAAGCTTTGCAAGGCCAGTTGCAAGACAATGTTCGTGAATTTGAAGCCATCTTCAGTGTAGGATCTTTTAATCAGCTGCACGCTAGGTCTGGAACGCAACTGGAAAAAATCTTTTTGATGCAACGTTTTGAAATGACCACGTGTTCGTGTCGCTTCTCTTTGATTCAACGTTGTGTGGTGCAAAAATGCAGTGTAGCTTTTCGCTCAAAATTCTACAAGCAAGTAAAGCCGTAGAACGCACGAAGATACAAAAACCGAACACACCGTCACTCCAGACAACTTTCAATGGTTGTGAGAGCGTGGTTGGCAAATCCCTCTGTCGACTGCTGTTTGCTGGATGTTTTTGTGGAACGGAGAACTTTTGATGACAGTTGAACAAGGAACATAACTTCGCGGAGTGGTCATTCCTTGTCGTGCCCTGCGACCTCCTGGAAAGGATGATGGAGTGGAAGTTCGAATGTCCGTCTGTCGGTTTGAGCAATGGAAGTTGGAGCCTTGTGGTGGTTAAATGCCGCGACTAACAGAAAATTGCATTTCAAGCGGTTTTGGCTGCCGCTTGAAATGCCACGCCCGCCTCTTATTTTCTTTGGACAGATATCCGAGCCTAAAAGTGAAATCAGCCACAGGCACCATCTTGCAGATGCAACCAAAAATGTGGAAAAGTCGGAGAGAGCCTCTCAGAACAGATGCTCTATGTTACAAAAGGCGTTGTGTAGCGTGCAACAAAAAATACATTAAATTCTGGTTGGAGTTTGAGAGTTTTAGTTTTGGGGTATTTTTAGAGCTGGAGTGAAATCACACTTCACAACGCAATTTGGTCGACCACTTGTGTGGACATGGCCCTTCACCGTTTCAGAGCCTCATGCACAGTCCCATGTTAGTCTGTATTTTACGTGAATCTCAAGGGGCTTGGAAGAACCAGTCTTCCCATGTGAGGGGCGTAACACTCTCAGGTGACACTCTCCACGCTCTGGCGTAACATGAATGGGTTTCGACAGCCGATGCTGCTTAGATCATTTCGATCACTACGTGGTCACTATGCGTCAACAGTTTCGTTTCGGTTTCATGAATGGGCAGCTTTGTTGTCTTCGGCTATTTCAGGAATTTTGGAAGGCTGTCAAGTCTACGAACTGTTTCAGGACCGCATGAGTGCTGACACGAGGTCATGTGCATTAGGACAGGACGTCATGTGCACCGACACAAGCGCATGTGCATTAGGAGTGGGAACATCTGTGAAGCTTGTGCAGGAACATTGTGTGCAAGATGCTCTCGTCCAGAAGGAATCGAAGCTGAAGAAGACAGCGAAGAAGCAGAAGGACCATGGTGACGCAGATCGGAAAGGACCTGAAGGCCCTCATGGAGAAGCAAGGCGGAAATATCTGCCTCCTTTCAGAAGAGATAGAGGCTCTGAGAGGAACCATCAGGGAACTGTTGGAAGAGATCGGGAACGTAAGAACAGAAGTGCTGGTTATGCAGATGTTTGTCAAATGAGATTCAAGCAATGCTGGTGTCACCAGATTCTGTCCCGCACAGAGCATGGAGGGGCCAGGTAAGAGTTTCCCTACACACAATTGAGAAGTACGCTCGTGGCTGTTAGAGTGGAGAAAAAAAATTCGATTCTAGCTTCAGTCGCAAAACGGAGTTGGTTGATAGACCGCTAAAATCCATCTAAATAAAGAAATGAATCAAATGGCTGCAAGACTGCTAGATTCCAAAAAATTGGACTGTGTGGCTGCACACACTGCCAAGCTTCTCAAGACAATCAAGTCTTTAACTCTGCACTTGCAATCTAAGAGCAAAAGGAACTGAGGTTGCATTCTTATGATGTGCTGAATTTGTTGAGATGGCAAAACGATTCATACCCAAGTGTTCGAAGAACTCTGAAGCATGTCTTGCAAGGTTTTTTGCCGTTTAATTCATTTCTCGTGGATTGCAAGACTTGTGCAAGGGAAAAGGTGGGAAAAACACTTAAAGGGGGTCATCAGTATTTTCTATTGCGTGTCTTCTTCGTTTGTTTTCATCACTACATCATGCATTTCATCTGTCTTTTCAGTACATGAGCATACTTGTGTTGTAGTCTGACATGGTACATTGTTTTTTAAAGATGTTATTGTTTTGGACTATACGGTGTGTTGTTTTGGCTACTAGCTTGTTTTTTATTCTATGGTATGATATGACATGGTACATATTTTCATTGTATTATGTTGTAGTGTATTGTATAGTATATTTTCATGATTGTATCACTTTATATTAATAAAATATATGTCAGATCTCTACTCTATTCTACTTTGTTCGTCTCTGTGTATTCTGTTCTATTCTGTTCTATTCTCTTCTATTCTGTTCTATTCTGTACTGTTCTGTTCTATTTTCTTTCGTTTGCACTGTGTTCTATTGCTTGTAGTGCACTATATGGTAGTATTTTATAGTATGTTATATTTCATTATATCAGATCGTTCTTTGTATCTCAACTGGGCATCATGTTTTCTCATATCATTTAATTTTCAGGGTTGTGTGTGCAAGGGTTCGGATATTGGTGAGAGGTGATAAAGGTCGCAGAACGGGTTGTGTAGATTTTGAAATGATTGTGCCCGAGAGGGTCTTCTGAGCTTAAGCACACATGATGACGTTCCGTGCAAGTTGGGGGACCCTAAACCCTCAACCCCTGAATCCTAATCTGATCCCCTTTGCATTCTTCGCACGCGCAGCCGATTGCATCAAGTTGGCAAGGATCGCCGCTGATTTGCGAAAACTTTAGGATTCTTAGGCCTCTTCCGGACAGCAGTTCGGTTCTCTCAGGATGAGCCTTCCGTGTGCCTGGTGGATGGCACTGGTGTGGGCAGTGCCAAAGATTCATGGCTTGCGCCCATCTGCCGACCACAACATCTCTCGCGCGGATGCTTAGTAAAGTAGATAACTTTTAGACTTTTTCGTAGTGTTCTGAGGCATCGATGAACTAATTGCAAAAAACTCAGGGGATTATTCAACGTATTGTTTTTGTTGCGAATTTTAGGGTGCTTGTCGGGATAAAAAATTTTACATAATCCCGAATGTTTACCTTTAGTTGCGCGGATACTCGGCGCGTCTTCAAGTAAGGATGTTTGCTGTTGCAAAGAGTTCGGCGACAATTTCGAGTTCCATGACGCAAGGCAGATTTACCCATATTGCCAAGCTTTGAAAACGTTCAGGAGTGACCGGCCCTTCTGGTACTACCCGGCCACAGGCGGAAATCTCAAAGCAAAGTGCTGTTGGACGAGCGGTTGGTCCTGCAGCTCTACCGGAGACCACGACAATGCCGGGACGGAAATTCCCTCCGAGAAGCATGCGGAGAGCTGCCCGTACCACGGCCCCACGGGAACCCCTGAAGGAACGGTGCAGGTTCCGGACACTTGGGAGGAGGTGAAGGGGAGCTGTTGCTGCAAGCAAGGGGTCCTTGAGGGCGTGTGCGCCACTTGGAAGAATCTACGAGGAGTAGAACGACCCTTCTGGTTTTATTCCCATGGCTACGGTAAGCCCGGCGAGTGCTGTTGGGCGGGTGATGTGACCTGCTTGCCCACGTTCGGTATTTTCGGGTCGGACGGACGCTGGGTGCTTCTTTCTGAACGTATTTTGAGTCACCACAAGGTAGGGTTTAGAGTGTAGGAAGGAGGTTTCGGGTTTAGGGGCACTCAGTTTAAGTGGCCAGGATGGGGATCTATAGTCAACAGCAGGGGCTTCTTTCGTTATCATGGTAACTTGAGTTCAGGAAAGTCCCTAAAACCCTAAACCCTAAATCCCTGAACCCTACCGGATCCCCCAAGAGCCCCTTAATGGATCCCTTATGCACAAGAACCCAGGAAATGGTGGCGACAAGGTTTCTGGCGATGCTCGGAGGGAGAGGAAGTGCCCATCTTTGATTCCACACGGAACCTTGAAGCCTGCTCAGCCGAATCTGGGTTCTTGCTAAGGGACTTAATTTAAGTTACCATAATAGGGATCTATAGTAAATAATGTGATTTCCTTATTATGGTAACTTGAACTA